ATCTCTCTCTCTCTCTCTCTCTCTCTCTCTCTCTCTCTCTCTCTCTCTCTCTCTCTCTCTCTCTCACTCTCTCTTGCCCCTTACCACCCCCCTCCATCCCTTCTCCCTCCACCTCCCCTCTCTTTCTGTATCCGAGCAATTATAACAAAATAAAAACGTCTCCATCGAATCAACAAAGCGGTAAGTCCCTCATCTCGCTCTGTCGTCTGCCCCAACAGGAAGTGCCGGCTAAACCGGAAGGGCATCACCAATGCGGCCATAGACATCTTGTATATCGACATGCAGCGCCGATGGGAATACATGAATCCTGATAGGACTTCTGGTGAGTTCTCGAGATGCTGGGTGGGGGGAAAAGGGATGTGGGTGGGGATTGGGGGTTTGGGGGGGGGTGGGGGATTGGGGGTGCAGATGAAGTGGGAGATGAAGGTGGATGGGAGGGGAATCGTACATAGATGTAGTACTCTGTACGTTTTAAAATGAAATACACTAACGAAGAGAACAAGACAATTTATGCAAGTATAACAAAATCTTTTTTGATTTCACATAATTAAATATCATGTAAAATGACACACGACGTACCATGATGAATATGATATTACCTAATGTTATATTATAAGATGTAAAATAGTTTATGGTAATAATGTTAGAATATAATAAAGCGATTTTATAAAACGGGGAGAGGGGATATTTTAAATTGTTTTTTGAGATTCAGTATACCCAAACCGAAGCAAACAACAGTTTTATGATTAATAATTAATTGTAATATAACTGAAAGCAAAATAAACATCTGGAAAGATAAATAATAATTATTATAGAAGGGGAAAAGCAGACATTTGCGAAATAAAGATTTAAGAAATAAACATTTAAGAGTCTGGCTTGCAGCTAAAGTGTAGCTATACCACAGAAAACCTTTCTTCTCTCTGAGTGCATATTATAATATACATTTTGTTAAACGTAAAGTCAGCTGAGTATGCTTTGTACCAGACAACATTCTGCGTGAGAGGACTTCTGCTTTGCATGCAATTGTCTGACATCGTGGGGAAATCAGGCGCTCGTCAAAATAATGAGATTTAAAAAACCTTGATATTTTCCACTCGCTAGGCAATTTTTATCAATTTTTGTTTACTCAACGCCTTCAATATCCACTTAAAATACGCATCTGTGCGGATTGTACTGAAAAACGTTGATCAAAGACACGAAAGAAAGTAAGCCTGCAGTTTGCAATGACTCCAAGAAATCACTAAAATTGGACGACCATTTTGTCGCTAATTTTACCTATGACTCTACAAAGCGCCCCCCTCCCCCTCCCCACCCAACTCCTTCAATTGCAAGTATCTCGACTTCTGTTCAAGATAGATGTGTATTTTTTTAGAATCAAAATGATAACAAATGAACAAACTTTTAAGATTATACAAATATCCCAATTTCCCCCAAAAAATGTCGAGCGCCTGATTCCATCGTGTCGTGACACTATCTATAATATCACATACTATCCCATAACATAATTTGTAACTTATATATAGATTTTTAATTATCGAAGAAAAAAAAAAAGACCGCTTTTCCTTCTTACTCATAGTTGGTCATAACTATGGTTCTACCCTGTAGCTGATGTGAACGTCCTTACGTCATTGATGTTCTTCTAGACTGTTGGTTCGTCTCTATGTGCTCTGACCTTTGACCCCTTGCTCTATGTCTGTAATAATAGGTTTTTATTGTTATTGTTATTTTTGTTATTGTTATTGTTGTTGTTATTAATATTATTATCAATATTATTATTATTATTATTATTATTATTATTATTATTATTATTATTATTATTATTATTATTTATATTATTATTATTATTATTAT